GCACTTTCTGCACTTGATGGGTCCTCCCAGGCCTCCTTCCAGTCTGCTGGTACAGGCGAACACTCCCCTGTCCCAGCATGGAGTGGAGGGGAGCGGCTGAGCTGTGAACGGGAGAGTCCATTTGCTTCCAGACAAATCTCCGCTGGATTCAGGGAAATCTCAGAGGTCACTCTCCGCTTTGCACTGTAAGGTGGCTTTTCCACGCTGTTAGCGTGTTGTTGCTGCTCCTGCTGTCTTGGTTTCTTTTTTTCCAGGCTGTCTGGCACAGCAGCTCCTTTCCCTCCAGGAATTTTTAGGGAGGATGTTTCTGAAGGCCATGCGGGGGTGGCCAATCTCTGCTGGCTCGACTCCTATCGGAGGAAAGGCTGTTGCAGGTATGGCTCCACAGCAGAACCCTGCTAATCCAGATGCCTCTGCTGCCTAATGACTTTCTCAAGGTATTTTTAGCTGCACATAAACTTCAGGAAAAGGTTTTTGCGGCCAAGCACACTGTGGCCTTTGTTCAGGCTTCTGGGAATGGGGAGGTAACGGCTCCGTGCGGCTGCAGTGGCATGCACAGCCCTTTCCCCTCGCAGTGCGTTTGCAAGCTCAGGAGCATTGCCGCCTGCTGCGTGGGGCTGTTGGAGACCCCTCAAGCGATGCTGAACTCCTGCTGACCTGCTCTCGCCCATGCGCAGTCTGCAGCTTGCTTTAGCAAAGCTCCTTCTTCAGGAGCAGCTCAGAAAGGAGCTTTCAGAAAGTGCTGCTCCTGCCGGGTGTCTGCATGTCAGGGTGGCTGTCGGAGGAAACCACCTCACCTCTCCCTGCTGCCAACTGTCGTCTCTGTTGCGAAGTCAACTTGCGGGCAGAATCGGCACATTAAATGTCCTGGATCTTTACTTGAAGCTCTCAAGGCGGGAGGGACAGGGACAGTCAATTTTGTGTCCCCCTTGCTGCTTGGATGCTGGAGTTGCACAGTGGACACGGCCGGGCAGGCAGAACGGCTCTGTGCGCGGTGCACGATGCTGTGTCTCCCTTGCTGTGGTCCAGGGATTCTCCCCAAGGCACGCATGTTGCCCTGTCCTACCATTGTGGTGGCTGAGTGGGACAGGTGAGCCCTGCGAGTGTCCCTTGCAGGGAGCTGAGGTGGCTTTTGCTGCCGTTGTCCACACGAGAGGTACCCGGGTGTTGGGGCAAGGTCAGCCTGTGCCCTGCCCATGCTCACGGGATGGCCGGGACAAGGGAAATGGCAGACTTTTCCCATTGTAGCAAGACTAGTCAGCATTTGGAAATGGAAGCTCAGCCTTTAGGAGCAGAGTTACTGTATGGAGAGTTTGAAAGAAGTTGCCAGCTCTCTTCCCAGTATAAGGGGGGGACTTGCTTCCGGACTCGCCAACTTTCCATCTGCCAGAGGCATCAGACTGCATGGCAGAAGCCCAAAATGGTTTTGTAATCCCAGGCAGGTTGGACATGGAGCCTTCAGTGTCCTTGCTGGAGGAGCTCCTGCCAGGAGGGGCAAGCATGTAAATATCTGTCTCTCCTGCCCGCAGCGGGAAGCAGGTAGGACCCAGGCTTGCCTGCGGTCCCCGCTGCCTTGTTGCTCCATCAGGTGCTCTGGATCGTGCCCGTGTTTTCATGGGAGTCTCCTGTCTTGGTCATGTTCATCTGTTTTTCTTCATCTATTTTTATTAACCCTTGTCTCCGAAATAGCTCTTGGCAATGAACTCCCACACCCCTTCCACTTTGCTCACCAGTGGGATCGTCAAAATGCCTGCTCAGGGGTGCCTACAGCTGGGGTTGGGGGTGCCCAGCCGGACACAGGGCTGAGGGTGCTGCTGCCCCTCGTAGCCCCTGGACCAGCGACCTGCTCAAACAGCCTCTGTGCTTGTGATAAGGGCAAGAAACGCAGGTGTTCAGCTGGACGTTGGGGCTCTGCGAGCAGCTGGCTGTTCGTTAGCCATGCTGGTAAATGAAGCTGTGTGTGGTGGCATCTGCGTCTGTGGGTAGGACCTGGGTGCTCCGTCCAGCCTGCTGGAGAATTCCCTCTATGTGCAGGATCTCAGGGCTGGCATAAAGACGCTTCTTTCTTTGGGGGAAGGAGACCGGGGGCTGAAAGGAGCAGGTCTGAAAGCAAGAGCTGCTGCTAATTGCCTGCAGCATCTCTCTGCTTAATGGAGTGGAGAATAGAGCTCGCTGTGTTTCCCTGGCTCCCTGCTTGGTGCGGGGCTGAGGTCTGGGCTCTCGTGGCCACAAACCAAGCGTTGCTGCGATGGGGCACGACTTCAGTCTGGGGTAGCTGGTCTTGGAACTCATCGCTGGCTGTGAAGAGCGGGAACGGCGTTTTCCAGCCCTTGTGGGCAGCTCGTTGCAGGCAGGACTGCAGGAAGGGTTTGCAGGCTGCTCCCTGCCCCAGGTGGGGTCACAGCCAGCCTGAGTATGTGGTGAGCCAACAGGTTTCTGGGCTTGGTCTGAGCTGTTGGGGTGGTCAACCCTGACCTGCGGGCGGTTCTCATCTGATGACTTACTCAGAGGCTGGGCTACCCGTGAGGAAACTGCATCAGTGCCACCAAGTCACACGGTGGCTCCGACAGCCGAACCACATCCTCTGCAAGTGCTGCTGGCCATGCATGTTGCTGGGAGAGCTTATTGCCTCACTCAGTGCTGCTGTTGGGAGCAACCTTGAGGAGCCCTGGTTTTCTGCAGGGGCTTAGAACCGTGAACTTGCAGGGTCACTTCCAGCCCGGCTTTCTGTTGGCGCACATAAGCGGGGCAGGAGCTTGACCGACATGACTTGTTGGATCATGCTGCCTGTAATGTAGGAGGGGGACTTTCACTTTGTGGAGTCTGTGAGCTCTTCCTAAGGGTCCTGGAAAGGCTGCAAAGTTTCATGCTGCTAGCAGGAGACTTGAAATCACTGCCTGCATGCTCACCTGGGGCTCTGCAGGTCAGACAGCTGGAAAGTCTTCAAGTCTTGGTGGAAACTCAGTGGCCACTGTCCTCTGGGACTCCCATCTCCCTTCCTTCTGCACTGCAGTAACGGGACTTGCTCCCTCTCCCTTTCAGATGGAGCAAAGTCCCCTTACTGCAATGCAGAAGCTGCGCAGGAGAGTCGATGTATTCCAGTTTATTGATTCGCTTTCCAAAAGTAAGGATAACGGGTATAAGATCAATGTTGAATGGTGCCCAATAAAAAGCAGAAACTCTTGGAGCAGCAAACAAGCACTGGGTTAGTTGAGTCATGTGAATTAGCCAGGCTTTACCCCGTAACCAACAAGCAAAGGCACCTGCTACGTCTCAATCCGCTGCCTTTAACTGAGCGAGGCTTCCCAAGAAGGGAAGAGGAGCAGCTGGCCCACACCTCTGTGCCTCTCCCAGCTCTGCGAGGCATCAGGCCTGGCCGGGAAGGCACTGACTGGCTTTGTACCTCCACCTGGTGACAAGACTGAGTGTTGCATTTTAGCCTACATAATTGGATTTTATTTGGGCGACGGGGAGGGAAATCACCAGGGAGGTGTTCTGGCTGGGGTGATGGGAATGAGCGAATCTTGTGCCTCTCTGTCAAGACAAAGTGTGTAAGTAGACATCTCTTAGTTTTCTCCTGACTTGCCTTTGTAGCGATAAGCGATGGGATGCTTGTCCTATTATTTGTTCTGCCTGCCTTTGTGCTGCAGGCGGGATGCACGCTAACTGGGGTGTCCTTAGGTCCCCACGGGGTGGCTGAGCGAGCGGAGGGGCAGAGGTGCAGCTTTTCATACTGTGAAGGCTGCACCGAATCAAACGCCACCTGCCTGCCTCCTTACCCGGATTGCAGTGTCAGTGCGGGGGGATTTACCCTTCTCTCTTCCCCACCTCCTCCGTCATGTAATCCACTTAATCCCCTGACGGTAGGACTCTCTTACTGTCAGTTCTGTGGAGCCAGTATTGCTAAGGAGTGAGCTGTCTCCTCTGTCTTGAATCAACAAAAGAGCCAGCCAAACCTAGAGTCTTGGTACCCCCAGCAATGATCCTACAAAGCAGCGTAAACACGGCTCGATTTAATCAGTATCCAGGTCTCCTCTTAGCACTGCCAACTTAAAACCAAAACCTCTCATGTTGACATGTATTTAACAAATGTGGATAAACCTTAGTGCTTTGCTTACTGAAGGCAACATTGGGAGCTGCCTGATGTTACTGGATCACGCTGCAGGTCCAGTTCAGCTGTCGTGGCTATCCTGGGAGGGAGCTGGGAGCCTGGATGGGAGTGTGGAGGGTGGATAGGGTCAGGAAGTCTGAGCCTGTAGCTGTTGTTTTAGCTGTGCGCTGAGCCTTGGCCATGATCTGTGGCCTCAAGGCCACCGTTGCAGAGCGGGATGCAGTTGAAGAAAACCAGCGTTGAGGTTTTAACATTGCAGAAATCTTCTGCTTGGCTCCTGTTGTCTAAGCAGCCGGGCTGAGGTATTGCAGGTCCCTTTTCGGGACCGGGAGTGGATTTAGGCCTGGGAGATGGACCTCTGGTTCCAGCTCCTGAACACTGTGCAGTCTGCATGGGGCTTGGTATGCAGCCAAGGCTATAGTGGCTTGATGCCCACCAGACCTCCTCACTGCCCTCAGACAGTGCCTCTGCTTTCTCACCTTCCCCCTGACTGCCTGCAGCCTGCTTGCATAAAGATAAACACACAGCATCCCTTCTCCATGCCCTGTGTCAGGAGTGTGGGGGTAACCACTTGCTATTGCACTGGGATCCCTTAAATCCTGTCCCAAACCACTTTATTTCTAGAGTATCTTAACGTGGAACCAGTCATTGGGAATGGAGATGTCTCCTGTCCTGAGAAGAGGTGGGTGGCAGCAGATGCTCACCTTGAGTCAAGCACTGCTTGGTGGATCTGGAGGATGAGCACGGAGTTGTCCAGTGGGCTGAAGGCAGCTGAATAAGTTGTGTGTTGTTCCCCAGGTGGTGGCCTCTCTCCAGAAGATAATGCTCCAAAACCCCTGTTCCAAGGCGATGGCCTGTCCCACTTACCTTTTACTCTTGTTTCCTGCAGGGGTCCTGACAGCTGGAGAGCACAACTTTCCCTTCCAGTTCCTTCTGCCAGGTATGGTGCAGATAAACAGCCAAAGGCGCTTCCATGTAAGCCTTGGCTTTTGCAGCCTCCTGAGCTGAGCAGGACTTGGGCTGGATGGCAGAGGCGGGCTGGCAGCTTGGCCCAGAGACACTAGAGGGAGCATAAGGTCAGCCACAGAGAGCAGAGGAGCTTAAACATGCGAGTACCTTCTGTGCTAGCGCAAAGCCAGGTCTGAGCTGTCGCTGACGCCTCTCCAAGCGCGACCTTATGAGCTCTCTGGGTGTGCGCAGGAGTCCTGGCCTGTGGCTAGCCGGCCGTCCTGCATGCAGTGCGCTCAGAGAGAGGATCTCTGCTATTGAACCTGTGGCTGCAGAGGATCCCTTCTATGGGGAGGTTGCAGCAAGGTCTCCAAGTGTTCAGCTCCACGTCTTTTTTTTGGGGGAATCCCCATGTGCTAAGGTACTGGCAGAACTCCTCAGGTGAAGAGGGAAGATCTTTATAGTAACTGTCTATTTCCAGTTCAGGAACACTTGGCCTGACTTAGCTTTATGGTCCTTTTCTTTCTCTTGGTTCTAGCCTCTGCTCCTACATCATTTGAAGGCCCTTTTGGCAAGGTCCTCCATCAGGTGAAAGCTGTGATAGATACACCTCGCTTCTCCAAGGACTACAAGTGCAACAAGATCTTTTATGTTCTCTGCCCTCTCAACTTGAACGACATTCCTGACATTGAGGTAAGAACAAGGAGGAGCACGGCTGGGAAGTACCAAGCACTTGTCCTTGTCACGCATGCTGTCTGGGGAGTAATTGGGTGGTTGGACAACTCTCTGACTGCACGCTCTGACTGTGCAAGAGCAGGAGAAGGGCTCTGTCCTCCCTTGCCATCAGTCCCTGCTCCCAGTCATTTTTGACTCATCCACACATTGCTTTGGAAGATTTAGGTGAATTTTCAGCACGCAGAGAGAGGTGTTTGCCGATAGCATCAGGTGCTTGTAGAGACCTGGGTTTGGGAAACTTGTTTTGAAGGAAAGGGAGACTAATAGGACAACAAAACTGGGGGGATGGAGAAGAGACCCGTTGTCTGCGGTAGTGCTGTGTTGCTGGTTCATTGTGTCCTCTTCAGACCCGATATTTCTGCTTGCTTTGAATCTCTGAGTGCTTTCCTGGACACTCTCTGACTCTCTTGAGCCAACATCTCTGTCTCTCTGCTGTCCTGCAGCAGCCCAACACTATGTCAATCACCAAGAAGTTCAACTACAAGCTTGTGAAAAGTGGCAACATTATTTTGACTGCCACCTCAGATCTGAAAGGATACATCGTGGGGCAAGCAATCCAGCTCCGCACCGACATAGAGAACAAATCGGGCCGGGACACGGGGGCTGTGGTAGCCAGTCTGCTCCAGGTAAGCATCCGAAAGGGTGATTCTTCAGCTTGTGCTGGTAGACCACCTTCCTCCAAGGCCTCTGAAACTGGGGCAGTTCTCGCCACAGTGTGCATCTCTGCTGTGTGTGGCTGGGGGGTGGCAGCGAGGAGTCCAGACCTCTGGCTAACTCCATTTCTTCCTGGGGAAAGAGGTGGTAGAACTTGTCTTGCTTATACCAACTCATTCTGTCATATAATGATGGGTATTTCTGCCCTGTAATATGCACGTTAGGTTTTCACTCGTGCTTATTTGACAAAGCAGTTGGGTGGTTTTGTGTCCTGACTTATGTTTGTGGGAGATGGAAGACCATCTTCAGTCTTTCTGCTAGCTGTATTTTCTCCTGTCTGTACAGAAAGTGGCTTACAAATCCAAGCGCTGGATTTACGACCTGAGGACCATCGCGGAGGTGGAAGGCTCAGGAGTGAAAGCCTGGAAACATGCAGAATGGAAGGAGCAGATCCTCGTTCCGGCACTGCCCCAGTCCATTCTGCAGGGCTGTAGCCTCATACATATCGACTACTACATCCAAGTGAGTACCTCGATGGTCCTGGGGAGCTCCAGTGGGCTGTGCTGCAACTTCTGTGCTCCCTTCTGGGTTGAGCTCGATTGCTGAACTCCGTAGCTGTGTGGTGTGGGTGGCCCTCGCATCAGGTGAACCTTCTCAGTGCAATGTATAACGGAGAGGATGCCACTGTTTTTCCTTCTCTTCCAGGTTTCCCTCAAGTCTCCAGAGGTTTCGGTCACTCTCCCCATTTATATTGGTAACATTGCTGTGAACAGGGTGCCTCTGAGCCCCTCCCGGTCCATCCAGCACATACCCTCTGCAGTGGTACCCAGTGCCCCGCCGGAGGAAGAGGAGGCTGCCAGCGGTTATCACCCAATGGACAATATCTTGATCCCCACCAAAAGCCATTCCCAGCAGCAGCCGTTTAGCTACGCCCCAGGACTGAGCTTCCAGGAGATAAGGGTGGACTCGGAGCAGACGGGCTCCCCAAACCATCCCACGCTCTGCCTGTCGACGGGAGCCACTGTCCCTTACTACGCTGAGGGGAACGTGGTGCCCGTCCCCACGGCCAGCTCCCTCATTTTGCCTCCGGAGTACAGCACGTGGGGCTACCCATATGGTGAGCAGCGCGCTCCTGAGATCTAAACGGGGTGGCGGTGTGGTAGTAAATGTCTCCTACAATAAGAGTCTCCTTGCTAGCTGCGAAGTAGGTGGGAATATAGGGATGTCAGCCTGCCGGGGGCTGATGTCAGAGGGGATCATGAGATCTCTCTGCTTTAGCCTCTGGAGGAGTCCCCTCTTACAGCTGTAAAAGCCGGCTGTCCGTTCCCACGTCTGCGGCCGTGCCTGCCCTGGGCTCGTCGTGAGAGGATCTCCCTGTTCTTAAATGAGCTTTCAGCCTCCCACTGATAGAAAAACTTCTTGGCTTGTGGTGAGGCTGGTGGGAGCAGAGCCAGGAAAATGATGCAACTGAAATCTTCCGTCTGACTTGGAGTGGGCTTGCAGCTGGGCTGGAGACACAGGCTGTGGGGGCGGGAGCTGAGAGACTGTCCAGAATGGAAAAGCTTGGGGAAATCCCAGCGTGCTGGATTCGTGGAGCCGTGCTTGTCCCGGGCGTCAGGGACCAGCAGTGTCTGTTAGCACAGACAGACTGTTAGCACAGTCCTACCCAAATAAACCCCTTTGTTAGCAGTGGGGTAACGAGACACTCGCTGTGTCCCTTCAGCCCTGGCTTGGGGCACACAGAGCACGGGTCACCTGTGATGTGAAGTACACGAGGATGCTTGTGAAAGAAGGGGAGAAACAGAACAGGACTTAGAGGTGCCGATTTTAACCCCTGGAGGCATGAGGACAGGGATGGGACTGGCTGGCTCAAATTCTGCGCGTGCACCTGCAAACCCCATCTATTTCAGTGGGGCAGGTTGTAGGGTCGTGTAGAGAGAGTGCCTGCATGTGTGACATGTACATGTGAGCAGTTTGCTTTATTCTGCATCATGTTACATAGACTGGGGTGAAGGGAACCTCCCAAACACCCACTGTAACCACTCTTACTCTCTTTTTCCCCCACAGAGGCGCCTCCATCCTATGAGCAGAGCTGCAGCAGTGCCAACTCCAGCATCAGCAATGGCAACTAGCCTCCCCTGCTTCGAGCCCCGCTGGCGCTGCCCGCCCCCAGGCGCCACGGTTCACCTGCCTACTGCAAAGTCTGGTACAGCACAAGGCGTCTTTTTATCTCTCCGGCTGCTTGGGGGAGTAAATGGCACATCCCGGCCTGGGCTTTTGAAGTCTCTTTTTAGGGGGCGGGGGGGGGGGGGGGGAACAAAAAGGGCAGCCAGAGCAGCCCGTGCGTGTGTGTAGGAGAGACATCTGGGAAACTGAACCATCTCCTTCTGCTCCACCAAGTGCTGGAGAACTGGTTTTGCCCCAGGGATGCCCTCTGCAGCAGCCTGTGTTTAAAGTACTGTAGTCAACACTAACTGCTTTACTATTGAAGCACCTGCAATGCCTTATCTGAAACGCTCCTGACTTGGCATGTCTCCACTGTAGGTGAAGGCTGGGCTGTGTGGACTTTCTCTTCTCTTTTAGGGGCCGTGTGCTCTCCAGAAATGGTTTTGACGGCCCTTCCTCCCTGTCCTCATAGGTCCTAAGGGTAGCAGAAACAGGAGGTTTCTCGGAGTAAGCAGGTTTGGAAGGTCAGGGACTCTTAAAAAGCCAAAAGCACAAGCCCTCACTATACCTGTGTTGTGGGGTGAGTGACCTGTGGTCCTCTTGCAGCGGGCTGCACCTCTGCCTGCGTGTGGAGAGAGGAGAGCGGGCTCTGGCAGTGGGGACCTCGCTGGGGCACTTACTTGTAACCCAAGAGGCCCTGATGAGCTGTGGAGGGAGAGCCCGGTGTTACCGTGGGGTGCCCCCCAGCCAGCTTCTGGCCTTTTTCAGCAAGGGCGACTTTTCTCTGAAAAGCCCCGTAGGAGACAGTCCATCCTTGCTCGCTGCTGGACCGCAGCACCCAGGATGAGCAGCGCTAGTCAGTCCACCAGCAGGGGGGACCACATCCCCCGTGTCCCATCTCCCACCCCTGCAGGGTGCCCCCTCCATCCCAGCTGCCGCTGCCTTTGGCAGGCCAGAATTACACGACAATCACGTTACAAGTCTGTCCGATGCTACCTCTGAGTCTGCCCAAGGACCCTGTCCGGGGAAGCCCTTCCCTCTGGGACGACCCTCTCCCTCGAGGCTCAGCCGGGCGTCTCTCGCAGGAGCAGTCCGCGCTGCCAAGGCAGTGCATGAGGGTGCTTGGTCTGGGGACGGTTCTCTCCGATGGTACTGGTTTACCGCTTCTCTCCTGAGCCGCCTCTCGAGCCGCAGCAGGATGCGAAAATGAGTGAGTGGGAACACAAACTGCTACGCCTCGTTTGCAGCCTCCGCTGGACCTGGCAGGTCGGGGGAAGAAGCTGGTGGATGTAAACCAACTTTTTTTTTCTTCACCCCTTGTTTAGCTTTTTTAGTATTGACTGCCCAAGCTGAGGAAACCACAAACCAGATATTTAAGAGTCGCAGGCATCCAGCCACGGCTGAAACTGTGGACTGCAGACCTTTGGCACCTCTGAAAATTGGTCTCCACGCTGCCTCACGCTGGGCGGGCAATACCTAAGCAGCCTGTTAGGAGCGCTACAGCCTCTGCCTCCTCGCTTGAGCCCGCCTCTGCGCACCCCTGGCAGGCAGCTGGGGACAAGCCCTGCTTTGCACTCTTTCTTTGCAAATGCTTTTTATTTTTTTTTATTTTTTTAAGTGTTGAACTGCTTTAAAGATAGCGTAGAGAAGGTGCCGTTCTGAGCAGTGCTGGCACAACATGCACCAATGTTGATAGAATGATTGTCATTGTCCCTGAATATATATATATATATCTATATGAGATGAAGTTTTGTTTTTAATGATTGAATTCATAAATACAAATTTTAATGCTGTATTTAATAAATTATTCTAAGAGAAATGCTGTGCTTTTTCATCCATTTCTGATGCTTAATCCATGTGCCTGTTCATGCCAAATCCAGGAATGCACCTTGCTGATTTCTTACCAAATGAAGCCGTTTTTTTTTTTGCTCTCGCCAGGGAGGGCGGCGACTTCTGCCAAGGCAGATCGGGGGGAAAAACAAGCATGGTGCAGCCTGACCGCGGTTTGTAGTTCCAGAGGGTTGGAGGCAGTTTGGCACGTGGGGTCAGCTCTGGAGAGAGCAGCCGCCGCACTGCTGCTGCTTGCCCGGCCCCGTGTCCCAAAGCCATGGCTTGTGCTGGTGGCTCATGAATCCTGGGCAGTGCTCTCTGCTGTCCGAGCGGAGAGGTGCGCTGGTGGGGAGGAAGGGGAGAGTGGACTCTCCCTTCGGGAGAACGGAGATGGAACAGCCAAGGTCTGGCTGGAAAGGCTGGAGACCACCATTTTAGTAAGTTTTGGAATAAACTGACTAAAAATGGAAGAAAGCTCCTCCTCCCACCCACAGTTTGGTGATACCATGTCTGAAGCATGTAGGTGTTGCCCAGATGTTGTCATTGCAAGTAGCCTGAGGTGTGTCTCAGACACGAGGATCCTTCTCTCCCCTTTGCCTGGTGGCCTGTGCCTGCCATGAAAAGCGTTCTTTGATGCACAGGGCATCAAAGGCGGCTGCTTGTTCGCTTTTCATGGTACATCTCTTCCCAGTACTCTTCCTCTTCCTCCCAGTTAGTGATCCTGTTTTGCCTGGCTCAGCCCGGAGCTCCTGTGGCCTTCCTCTCTGTCGGCAGTACGTATTCCTGCTTTCAGGCCTCAACCCAAATCCCTTCCACGCCTCTGGAAAAATTCCGATGAGCTGGCAATGCTTCTGGACTTGCTGTGTTGGGCTACAGGCTCCGGACCCAGACGGGGTCTGGGAGAGGTAGCCTGGGCTGGGACTGGGTTCCCAGTTCCTTGTTCTCCATCCCTGAAGCTGAGCTGCTGGTGCTGTGTCCAGCCCGTGTTCCTTGGCTGGAAAGCTCGAATGCAACTGCATTCAACAGAATACAAGAGGTCACTATGATGCTCTTACTGACCCCCAGCCAGTGTCTGTCCTCCTCGTTTAACCTTTACAGCTGCGAATGCACCCAACGTGGTGGGGACCGGGAGAGGAGAGGAGAGGTCAGCTGTATGTCACCCAGCTCCTGTGTTGTGCCCTTCATCTCTGCCGTGGTCCCGTGCACCTGATCTTGCTCTCCCACATTATATTTACCACAGACTGGTCCCTTCAGCACCTCTCGCTGTACGCGGTGTCCACTTTCCAAAGCAAGGAGCGTGTGAACATGCTTTTCTTTGCTGGTGAGGAGTGTCCATCTCCGCTGGCTGCTGTGGCGGGAGCAGGAAGGAGTTGGAGCTGGACCTCATGGTGGTCCTTGTTCTTGTGGATGGTGGGGCTGGGCACGCACAGCTCCTGCAGGGGGAGGCCTCTCTGTGACCCTCGAGGTGGCCCTGGCCATGGCACAGTGGGTTATCGCCCTCGGTTTGTCTCTGAGCGCCCTCGCCGTTGTGCGAGCGGACAGAAATAACGGGCAAAGCGCTGTGGTTTCCAACGTTCCTGCCCAGCCTTGCCTGTCCCCCAGCGCTGCGGCAGGGGACCGAAGCCACAAAGAGCCTTGTTCATGTTTCACAGACCGCTCTGAAACGGTCCGGGACTGCGGGATGGAGGAGTTAATCCAGCTCTCCTTAAACCTACCTGCAGTTGTGGCCTCAGGGCACGGTGACAGCAACGTCCTCGGGGTAGGTGAGGACTTTGGATGAGGACGATGGGGTTAAACCCAATGTTTGGGTGTGAGTATGTTCCCCTCTGGAGAGGGCGAGGGGACAGTCCTCTGCCTCACTGCTGTCCTCTTCTCTGCAGCCTCTCTGGCTTCAACCTCTTTCGGTCCCGGGGGGTTCCTGTAGGCCCTGGGTCACCCCTCTCTCCTCTTGCTCAACTCTGGAATAAAGGGGAAAAGCAGCCCGTTTTTCCAAACGCAGCTCTGGGTAAAAAAACTTCTGCGCACAGGAATTCATTCAAATTCCTGGCTCGAATTTGTAAGCAGTTGTTTTTTTGGTTTTGTTCAAAATGGGGAGCGGTGGGGCGCGAGTGAAGCTTGTGAGCTAATTGTTTCCAAACTCAGTGTTCAATGGAAAATACCAAAAATATCATCTGTCCTTTTTTTTTTCTTCTTTTTTTTTCTGCTGCTTCTTTTTTGTCCTTCATGGCTTTGTTCTTATCCCGCTCTCCACATGCGTCGCCTCCATGGTTTTGGCTTTTTCCAGTGGTGTTTGTGTCCTCCAACTCTCCGCTTCGGTACCTGTTGTCCCACTGCCTGCAGGAGATGGGGAGAGGGGAGCCGGGGGCGCACAAAGGCGGCTCTTTTTGCTGGACGGTGGTTCTTTTTTAGCTTTCCACTGAACTTTCAGTAGTTTTGTAAAAGTGATTTTCTGCTAGGAAGTTTTCCTGTTGAGCCAGCACAACAGAGGAGATAAAGGGTATTCTGGGGTTCGTTTGTTTTTTATTCTGTATTTTAAAATATTTCCAACTATCTGCAACAGGAACGTCCCGTCCCTCCTCCCCAAGAGAGACTGGTGGGGTAAAACCCTCAAAACTTGTGTCCTTTCTTGTACCAATACTCGTGGCTGTAATTCTTTATTCCTGTGGTTCTCTTTACAGATTTTGGGGTTTTATACAACAATATTTGTGATGGCTCTGTACAACCTAAGACTTCTGTGCAATTTATTACTGGGTTTTAAAATGTAAACGAGCAGTTTTACATGTTTACCACTTCTGGGGAGTATTTTTTGTCCTGGGTTTTAAACCACCAAATGTAAAGAATTAAGGAAAAAAAAAAAAAAGTAAATAAAGCTCTCCTTTTTTTAAGGCCATGGGTGCTTTTGCTCAGGGTAACTGTGTGATGAGCGCCGTCTGTACACCGAGAGCCACTGGCCGGGCCCAGCACAGCAGTCGAGAAGTGGCTGCTGGTTTTCGGAGGAGGCATCTGCCTCGACAGCCCCAGCTCCGAAGCTGATTTACAGCCGCTGTGAAAGCAAAGCCACGTCTGCTCCAGCCCGGCGGGGGAACTGCTGGGGGGGGCGGCCACGGG